TGTTCCCATTCCCTTCTGGTTTGTTAGCCGCCCTGAGTCCCTCCGGGAATAGGGCGGCATACAAGTTTAATAAACCTAAACCTAATACCTAAGATGTTACAGAGAAAAAGCAAATAATCAGCATAGTTATAACACCCAGCTCCAGATTTCCTGATTATCTCCCCTGGCAAATTCATATTGATAAGAGCACTGCAGGCAGAATGGAGTCCTGAGAGACACTTGTTTCAAGGAGCAACTGTTTCCAGGCGACATAATCTACCCAATGGAACTATTGCAGAGGGTTGCAATAATTCCTATTCACGTATCTCTAATGGTGTTTAATGCCAGTCTAGGTGTCTTCTTTTGGAAAGGGCTGTATTCTTTTCTTAAAATAAACAAAACAAGCTTCAACCTGTGAAGCAGTGAAAGCATTACTTGAACATGTGGGGGAAGAATCATACCGATGATAAATCTCCACTTATGCAAATTAAGGACCTAAACAAAGTTCAACAGTTAACTTCTTCACAGTTTTGTATCAAAAAGCCTCAAGGAAGAAATGTATAATAAATACCTGGTCCATTCTTAAGAAAGTTTTCCTGAAAAGGATCAGAAATCCACCACTGACACAGCAGAAAAGTAAGGAAAGGAATGAGATCCAGATTTGATAAATGTAAAGGTCTGACATAACTGAAGTTAAAGAATCAGCTTCCCATATACTGATATGTGCACAAGAAAATAGCAGATAGTAGCATTAGATAAGGATTCTCCCAGTTCAAGACAGCCAGTTTAACTTGTTAGATAAATCCTTCCTGTAAGTAACCATTTGCTGATCCCAGGCCCAGAAGTTTAAGCTGAGATATTTTATTTTTGTTCTAAGGCTCGCCCTCAATAGAAGCCAGTTAACTGTTTCTGGGCTAATATTACATGTACTGGTCATGCAAATGGATACACACATATCTGTTATGCTATTGTGTTGGGAGTTACGCAATATTAGTTAAGGCAGGAAATAAGAGAAAAGTAAAAATAGACTACTTAAAGGCATTTTATACTAACATTCATTATATCTTTCTGTACTTTTCTATATTTGAGAAACATCTTTGCTTTTAGCTATTCATTCTTCATCATTTTTCCCTTTTAAATCATGGATAAGTCTTTGAAGCATATAAAATATACATGGCAATGGATGCCTGCTGATTTTTATGATAGGGGGAAAATGTATGTTACATTGTTTTATCTTCATGCTGATATAGCACCAGCAAAGGGAATGTTCTTTAAAGAATCAAACCTATAGAGAGAACAGCACCAGATTTGTATTGCCACACAATACAAAGAACAGGGTGCCAGCAGAACAGCAGATGTCCTCCTTTCTGTTTGCTGAATGTGTTTGAAGTCTTCCTGCTTTTGATTTTAACCCACTCCATAAGTGCTTCACTTTCCCCAAATGCCAGATTCTACAGCCCAGGAGCCATTGCTGGTTTGTCCTCTATTAGGGAATAGTGATTGCCAGACCTAATGCCTGCATTAGCTCCCATACTTCTTATATTTTCCTGTGGGCTTTTTGACATCACTGCTCTTTCTACTATCTAGTTCCTTAAGAGAGATTTGAAGATGATCTACAACTGTCTTCTGTTCCACAAGCTTGGCAATGTTGAAATAAAAATCAGTGTGTCTGCTTTAAGATGCTGGTCTATGTGCAAATAAAGGAATGAAATACTTTGCTTCATTCCCTTTTCATGTCCTTCCTAACATGTGCAAAATATATCGTAGTGGTTTCAGTGAGAGGTTCATGGTAATCAATTCCATTGGTTAATTATGTTATGTGCAAAGAGTTACCTTCTGTCTACAGGTAGTCCTAGATTACAATGGTAATTGGAGCGGGGACGGTTGCTAAGCAGTGCAGTTGTAAAGCATGGTGTCATGTGACCATGCCACTTAACCCCAGCAATAAACAGCAAATCTGGTTGCTGTTGTTAAACAAGGGTCACATGGCTCATTAAGTGAGAATCTCATGTGTGATCACAACTTCTGATTTCCTGCCAGATACTCAATTGGACTTTTCTTGTGGGAAGCTGGCAGGAAATGCAATCATGTGGCCTCAGCTTGCTTCAAGGCCTGGAACTCTAAGGAGGCGTTGTAATGTCCCTTGTTCAGTGCCATTGTAACTTTGAATGGTCGCTTAAAAAGTTGATTGTAACCCAAGGTTACAATCTATACCTCCATTTTCCATCAACTTCTAGTCAGTTTGATTGAATGATTTCTGGTCCCAATGTTTTGCATGCATACACAGATGCAGATAGTCCTTGACGTATTACCACAAATGAGCCTAAAATTTCTACTAAAGCTCACTGAGGCAGTTATTAAGTGAGTTTTTGCCCCATTTTGTGACCTTTCTTACCACAGTTGTTGTGAATCACTGCAGTTGTTAAGTTAGTAATACAGTTATTAAATGAATCTGGCTTCCCCATTGACTTTGCTTGTCAAAAGGTTACAAAAAGTGATGACAGGACCCCAGGACATTGCAACCATCATAAATATGAGTCAGTTGCCAAGTGTCTGAATTTCACTTTCACTTTCTGAATTATCAAAGAGCAGAAAAGAGTAAGATGAGGAGAAAAATCTTCCCTTTTCCACTTTCTGTAGGCCATGCTTGATTCTCTATGTTTCAACCATGTTTCCTTTCAGCTGCCCTTTTTTCAAAGCTGAGTAATTTCAAATATTTCAAGGATGAAGATTGAGTCCCATTATTTTATTCTTTTTCCAACTCAATTGCATATTTCTTCAAACTTTTTACTCCGTGCTTGAATTTTGTCCCTGCGTTGGAAGTAAAACTCTTCCTTCGCATATCAAACAAATATCCAGTACTGTTAATTCCCCGAAAGCAAAAATATTGTTGCTATGTGTCGAGTTGATAGGTACCTATAGGTACATTTTTCAGGAAAGAGCAATGGCCCACATTGCTATTTGGATTCTCCTGAAGTGAAGTTAATAAGTCCCTGTGAGTCTGCATTGCACATGGTGTGACAGTTAATCCAGCCTTGGCCTCACTGCCTTGAGCCCCAGAATCCCTGGATTTTTTTCTGAACAGCTGGACCGCTTGGAACTGGATCCCTTCAGGCAGCAGTTGGAAGATCGTTGGAAAGATATTCGGAAACAGTTGAAGCAAAGAGTTCCACAAGATGAAGGCGATGAGGCTGCAGGGATCAGAAGGTAAGAGAGGCTAGAGAAAGACAGCTGTAGCATTAAGAAAGCCTAGTACAAGAGTGGGCAGATGTGCAGTGGCAACAGCTGTCAGCTGTTTACTTCCTATCCTACACTTGTGGTATGGTTAAAAATAAGAAAAGAAAATGCATACATGGGTCTTTGCATGCAGCCTGTAATCCCTGATACCGCATACATTGAACCAAAATCTACTTTGTTTGAGGAGAATGTCAATCTGCTGAGTCATCATTTACATTTCCCTTCAGCATCTCCAGTACCTGGCATATTTTGAGAAAATTAAAGGAAGCTCCCCATTTCCACCCCAGTCCAACAACAAAAATATAGCTATTGCAGAAAATATAAATGCTTCCAAGCCACTGCCATGAACATAACAGTATTTATGCCTACCCTCCCCCCCAAAAAATCACCAGTTTAGGGGGTTAGTGTTTGGAATTGATGCTGATAGGAAACCTCAGGATTATAGGTAAGTTTTGGAAACCATCCCAGAATAAATAGAGACAACCATCTTCCATTCGGTGGTCAAGAAAAATTGCAGGGATATGTTCACATAATCAGGAATTGAGCTTTATTTAAAAGAGAATACACTTTTCTTTGCTAACAAGTATGACAGCTGGACACATGTTACCCTCAAACTTGGAGCTGCAGAGCACTTATCTGAACTCTTACTTGCTTTCCCAGACTTTCACCCTAGTCAATACAGGTAATCCTTGACTTACGACCATTCTTTTAAAAACCACTCAAAGTTACAAAAACGCTGAAAACAGCAACTTATGATTGGTCCTTGCACTTAGTGACCATTACAGTGTGCCTTTGGCCACGTGATCAAAATTCATATTTTTGGCAACCATTATATATTTATAAATTTATGATGATTGCAGCATCCCGGGCACCCGTGATGACCGTTTGCGGGTTTCAGTCAAGCAAAGTCAATGAGGGAAGCCAGATTTACTTAATGACCATGGCAAAAAGATTGAAAAATTGAGCGTGACTCATTTAACAATTGCTTAGCAACCAAAGTTCGGATTCCAATTGTGCTCATAAATTGAGGATTACCTGCAGTCCTTTCATTTAGAATGGCAAGCTGCAATCACTCTGTTGTACCACCAGAGGGCACTTGTGCTTTGTGTGACCTATTGGCCCAGCTTATTGACAAGGGAAAGAGGAGGAGGAAGCTGCTATGAATGTGATTACTTTAGCAGTGCAAATCAGCATTTCCTGCTACATATTCTTAGGTGATAATACACCTATGCTAAGTGTCCATTATATAAGATGCAGCAGAATCTCTCTGTCTAGCTATCTTGGCATCCCAGGAGTTGTCCTGCCTGTCCTGGTGTCTAGCTTTGAAAGTCCTTTAATTAAATCAGAGAGTGATTATATGTGAAGGCATGAAGAAATAAGATGCAAACACGAGGGGGGGGGGAGGAAGCATTGGCCGCCAAGAAGCATGTTTCCCTTGAACTTTGGGGAGAGTTTCTCTTGAGGACACTTTTCAGAGAAAAGGAGGGCTTGGAAAGTCTTCTGCTCAGATTTGTCTCACGTAGCATTGGGGACAGTGTCAGTTCCTGAGTCAGGGTCCCACAGCCCAGCCATGAGCATATTGTGAGGGTTTAGGTGAAGGTGTGTCATGTTTGGGAAAGGAAGGTCACCATAGCGATCTTATTTCCTCAGAAGGAACCTGCAAGGCAATGATGCAGTGGATAAGTCGGCCTTCAATGAAAAGGAGGGGGAGAAGGAAACTAAACACAAATGAAGGCAAATATATATACATGTCCCAGGATAATGTTGCAGGATCCAATCTGGGTTGGTCACCAGGACCAGAAGTTTTGTCTTCCCAGCTTTTGGACTCATGCTGGAGCTCATCTTCAGGGAACTTCTCTGTGTCACAGAAAAGTTCTCTGAGGATGGGCTTCAGCACGAGTCCCAAAGCCTAGAAGACAAAACCTCTGGTCCCAGTGACCAACCCAGATTGGATCCTCGAAAGAAAACAGATATGGACTAAATGCAGCTGGTACAGTATGGAAGGAAAGACCCCTCTTTGTTTTGTCAAAGCAAACTTTGAAAGTCTACAAGAACAGTTGCTTTCACACGAAGTTGTGAGAAGTCTATTATTAGACTTTGCCCCCCCCCCCTAAGGAATGATGGGAGCTGAAATCCAATCTGAGGGGGTGGACACCAGGAGGGTGAAGGGTGATGTAGTCTGACTATTTTGGAAATCTCTTTGCTCCCAAACAGCGAGAATGAGCTCAGAGCTGGGTCTAGGATAGACAATCTGTGGCCTCCCCAAGGTTACTAACCTCCAATTCCCGTATTCTTCCCAAGTGGCCATGCTGGGAGAGCGCCTGGGAGTTGGCCAGTAACATCTGAGCAGCTACAGTTTCCCCAGATCTAGAAGAGATGATCAATTTAACACGTGGTGCTACTATCAGTTTTAATAGCTGGTAATGCTGTGTATGGTTGGTATTAGGGTTTTTGAAGTGGACCAAACATTATGTAGAAAGGGAGGTGGAAGAAAGCTAGTGATCTTGTTCACTGCTTTGGGGGCAGGAAGGAGAACACCCCACACAGCTCTCCCATAAAGGATCTGTCTGGAGTTGTCCAAATTGAAGAGAAAAAAAACCTTCCTTGTTTTGGAGAGGGAAATTCTCTCTCTCTCTCTCTCTCTCTCTCTCTCTCTCTCTCTCTCTCTCTCTCTCTCTCTCTCTCCCTCCCTCCCTTTTTCATTTTCTGAGCCCAAACAAACTATCATCATACTTCAGATCATCTTTCCATTCATGAAACCCTTTTGCAATCTCTCCTTAGTCAAATGTAATTGGATGATGCTATTTTATCTGCAGCTCACTGGCTGTGGAGATAAGATAGTCCTCAACTTATTGCTTAGCAAACATTTGAAGTTACAACAGACACTCCAACCCTACCCCACCCCCCAAAAAGGAACTTATGACCTCATTTTGAAGTTGACATCTCTCTCCCTTGTGGTCACAGGATCACATTTTTGGCACTTGGCAACCTGCTCATGCATACAGCCATTTGTAGCACCCCACAGTCACCTGATCATGATTTATGATGGTTTTTTTTACTTACAGTTGCCAGCAAAAACCGAGCTTTAAGGAACAATGGATTAACTTCACTTTACAACTGCTGCATTTGCTTAACAACTGCCAAAAAGGTGGTAAAAATGGGTCCTGTCACATGGTGCCCCACTTTAAAACCATCTTGACTTATGAACATAATGGCCAGGCTCAATTAGGGTCATAAGTGGAGGACTACATCTACAGTGGCCAGATTTTTACATCCTTTCAGTGACATCTTTTATTCTCTCCTTCATAGTAACTGCATTTACCCATGGTACACAGCCTGAGCCTTTTGTACCAGATGTCCTCCCTCTAAAGTGTTCCTGTGGTCCCCTGACCCCATTCAAAATTACTATTGCAATTTTTAAGATGGTAAGGGGGGGATTATTAAATGCACGGAGAGTAATCTTATTAACTACATTTAACTAATTGAATAAAATATAATTTTAAGTCAAATGTAGCTCTAGTCCCAGCCCCGCCTGTTTCTTTGTCTTGCCCTCTCCTCTTCGAATATGCTGTCATTCCTGATACTGCAGCAAATTCAGAATTCAACACTCCCCAAGGGCATTTTTAACATATAGTTGGTGAGAATTTCCACGATGCTTTCATGAATTTTCATCAACTGAATCCTTGCTGAATGAATGTTTGTTTTATTTTACTTGGCTTCTTTAAACTGGAATTGTTTGTTGTGGAAATAAAGACTCAATTTGATGGGTATGTTAAAAATGCCTCTGCGTGATATAAACATGCTAGGCTGCGTTTATCCCCCGCTCTGTGGCCTTTTGGTTTTAAAAAAGAAGCATGCTCCTGTTGTTGCCAAACATATCTTTTATCCTCTATTCCAACCCCATCTGATTTGATGTTTCTTTTTTGTTCTCAAACAGGAGACTCCTGGCTCACTTCCACTGCATTTCTTGTGACCGACCCTTAGAGATGGTGGTGCCCGGCCCGTAAGTCTTTGTTTGACGCTTTCAAATCAGATCAGTAATTGATCTGTTTAGATCCAAGTATAGGAGCACCTCTACTAGGCAGTAGATTCAGCTATTCAGCAAGTTGCTGCCTATGTCCATCTATTTCCTGAGGAGCTAATAAAATGCTGGTAAGGTGTTAGGCCAGGAGCAGCTGCCCTCTCCTCTTTCACTTGTTCTGTATCTTCCTTTATTTATCTGGTCTGCGTATTATCTTGACAGGCGAATTACGACTCTCCCAGCTGTTCCAGGTTTACCTGCTCATCAATCCCTCCGGCCGTATATGGTTTATGAAATGGAACAAATCAGGCAACTGAACCGCAAGTAAAATGCAGATAGGAGCTTGCAGTTCTCTTGCAGTTTCTTTATCTCTGTATTCAGGAACTGAGTGTGCTAGAGATTTGGAGCAGAAATCCATAGGGAGGAGTGAATCTATCAAGTACAAAGTACAAAGTATCCATTCAGCTTGAATGATGTTCTTGGGATGGAATCTTCGTTATGTACAGGTAGTCCTCCACTTACAATCATAGTTGAGACCAGAATTTCTGGTGCTAAGTGATCGATCATTAAGTGAGTCATCAGGTGCCTATACCCAATTTTAGGAATAATTGCTTAAAGGTGAAAGTTTTCTCTATCCAGTCGTATCCAACTCTAGGAGATGGTGCTCATCTCTGTTTCTTAGCCTAGGAGGAGCCAGCATTGTCCAAAGACATTTCCGTGGTCATGTGGCCAGCATGGCTACATGCCAAAAGTATATGGAACACTGTTATCTTTCCACCGAAGTGGTACTCATTTATCTGCTGCATTTGCATGCTTTTAAACAGTTAAGGTTGGCAGGAGCTGGGGCAAGGAATGGGAGTTCATTTCACTGCACAACACTCAGGTTTCAAACCTGGGGTGTCAGCTCTCCAACTGACAAACTTTGCATCTTTAACCATTGAGCCATTGTGCCTCCTAGATTGCTTAAACAGTCATTAAGCAAATCTGGCTTCCTCCATTGAGTTTGCATGTTGGAAACTGGCTAGGAAAGTTGCAAAATGTGTTCATGTGTTCCAAGGGTACTATAATGATCATAAATACAAGCTAGTTGCAAAGCACTCCCAATTGCAATACCAGGGTGCTGTAATGGCTGTAAGTGTGAAGACTGGTTTTCACACTTTCCAGCACCATCGTAAGTTCAAGCAATTGTGAAACAGATAATTGTAAGTAGTGGTGGGATGCAACTGGTTTAACAACCGGTTTGGTGAGTGTGCACGCAAACAGCGTTCAAAAACCTACTATTTTAAGCTTAAAAACCTAAGTTCCATGTCAGCACTGGTGAATAAAACTGCTGACACGCGACAATCGCTGAGCTAAAAAACAGGGAAATACAGGACAGGAAAGGGAAAGGGTGTGTGGGTGTGTGGAGAAAACTGCTCAATGCTACTAGCGGTTCACTAGAATTGGTGTGAACTGGTAGATACCACCACTGGTTGTAAGTCAAGGACTACCTATAGTGAAATTTAAAATGTTTTCTGTAACTGCTGTAAAATTTTCAATGGCAGTGGAGAAAATAGGAAGTGAACATCTAGTTGCGAAATGTCTCTTCATTTCTTAGATTTCTTATATCTGTAGAATTGCTTCCAAAACCATATGGCTGGATCAAATAGCATACACCTTAATTGAATGAATCTATAGAAGAATATTCACTTTAAAGTCTCTTCATAGTTGTGTGAATCTAATGCACTCTTGCTGATTATGGAGTTCTATATTAATAAAGGGCTGGGAACTCCTAGCTGGAAATGGCCTCTAGGACTCTTCCAATAGCCTCCCTTCATCTCCCTTCTTCATGCTATCTATCTATCTATCTATCTATCTATCTATCTATCTATCTATCTATCTATCTATCATCTATCTATCTATCCATCCATCCATCTATCCACCCACCCACCCACCCACCCACTCACCCACTCACCCACCTACCCATCTATCTAATCTTCTTTTAATTTTGTTTTAAACAGTAACTGGAATTTTTAAAAAGCCCAGTGGCCTATCTGAGTGCCTTAGCCTGCTTGATTCCTCTTCCCTGAGAATTGGGGAATAAATCTTCCCATTGGTGCTAATTTATTTGTTGTGACTTGTATGCACATGGGAGATCGAGCAAGGGGCCACATGGTATACGTGAGAATAGAAAGCGGGTATATGAATGGGGAGGTATGTGGTCCCCAGAAAGTTATCTATATCTATATGAATGCTAGCAAAAGATGTTGGGTGCATGTGCCTTGCTTGACAACATATTCCACCCACCCACCCACCCATCCTCCCACTTTGGCTGTTGCTGTCTCCTTGCTCTGGCACTGGGCTGCATCCATTTCTCCTCTTCCTACCTCTTCCCTATTCTGTATTGTAGCAATTTGAAATTAGGACCGGGTGTTCGTTTTGATGCCCTGGAGAAGAGTGCTAGTCTGAACAAGTTACGGCGCATCCATTCCAAGATGCTCATGGACATACAGAAGGTGCAGAGTCATTATGGCGGAGCTGCCAGGGTCAACGCTCAGATGATCAGGGAAGCCCTTCAGTCCCAGTATCTTGGCTCAAGCCCTTTTGGCAAACGGTAGGGATTACGGGATAAAGCAAACTGTTCATCTTGCCAGACAGAAATATAGAAAACAAAGCAGGGCTCTGATCAATCTGTCATTCTGGTGCTTCACTCAGGAAAACAGAAGATCAGAGGAACTTTGCCCTGCCTTTCCTTAGCACTGTTATGGTGAACAATAGACTCATTTCTGCCTACTTATAGCCAGTCATGCCTCACTCCCATTCCAAACTTACCAGGAAAGCAGAGAGGGCAGGAAATTATAAAAACAGCACATTGGAAAGGGAATAACAATTTTAAAAAAGTACATGATGATGTTTCTCTCAACGAGCTCTGAATATCCCACCTGAATGTCGATAAATCTGGACAAATCAACTTAGGCCAAGAACCGGACACAGTAAAATACCACCTTCAATTTAGAGTTAACCAATGCATTTAATCAGATTCACGTGAGGTATTTTGGAATATATGAATGTTTGTGACTCATTAAAGCAGCTATGTACTTTTCCGGGAGTTATCCAATCCTGGGGGGGAAAAACATAGATAGATGCTTTAATGAATTGCAGGCAAGTGCTCTACAGCATTCATGCATTCCAAAACATTTCTTCTGAATCATTTTGGAAGTATTGTGCAGCAATCATCTGCCTTAATATATTAACTGCAATGCTGGCTAAAGAGTATATGATAACCCAGGTCACAAAAGCTAATGGTGCCACTTTCTGCAATGCAAATATTTGCATTTTTAGAATGATTTAGAACAGTAGTCCCCAACTTTTCCACTCTGTGGACCAGCAGTAATGGAGGGATGGTTTCACTCAAGCCGCTTGCACAAATAGAGCTTTTCACATTTGTCTGCCATTTGCACGGCCCGCTTCCCAATGGGCCATGGCCTGGTACTGGGCCACAGACTGGGGGTTGGGGACCCCTGATTTAGAAGGAGGGGCCAGTAGTTCCTTGGCTTTTGCTTAAAGCTGAATTGATTAAGTGTGTCCAAGAAATGACTTTACTCAGACCTTGGAATCAGGGTTCTATTTAAATTTGATAACTGTGTAAAATTGTTTGAGTGAGGAAAGGTTTGCAAAAGGAAGCTGTAAGCAATTACAATTTCTGGAATTTGATGGAAAGGATTTATTTGTTGAGAGATTCTCTACTCCTTTTTATATATTGTACACTGAAAAACTGCTATATAGCAAAGGAACTTCCATTAAGAAATTTATCTCAACTTGTATGTACATCATCTCTGTTTGTATATATGGAAGGAAGCCACACATTCCATATGTATGCTTAGCATCACGAAATTAGCAGGAAATATTTATATAAATTTCTTCCATGTAGGAATTTTGCCATACCCTAAAGTAATCTTTTCATGTGCTGCTTTTACATTTTTGTATGTTTGTAATCAGACAATGAGCCTTTTAGTGGTTGGACTTGCTGCTTGTGTAATCATTTGCAATCTCAAAACAGGCTCAGAACTTCACAGATTTGCTAAACAAGTCAGACTTGATTGTTATCATGGTACAATGTATTCAGTGATGTCTATAAAGTGGCTCCTATACATGCAAATCCAAATCTGAAAATAATGTCCAAACTAGCTTAGGCTTAAGTCTGGCTCAGACTAGACTTCTTGTCTATAGTGAGATATAAGAATTTTGTAATCAAATTTCTTGTTATCCAACCTTGCAATTTACCTTGCATTTCTGCTTTACCTTAATATTAGTTTAACCCTGCTACTGCTACATGTCTTGTTTCCCTACTTGCTTCCCTACTTTCCGTCTAGAAAACTACTTTCCAGAAGTGGCTTTGTGAAAATAACTTTCTGTTTGTTCCATATGTTTATGTGCTTTTCTATACTCCAAGGCAGAAGCAGGGAACATGATGCTCAAGCAGGCTGCTGCTATGTACTCTACCAAGTGTTTCACTGAATCTGTTCCCAGGGTTTCTGTGGAGAAGCTTAATATTTCCTGGTGTCTTTAGGAAGAGAAATAGGCCAAAAGGGAGTTCTATATGATTAGCAAGCAGTAAATGGATAAATCGGACCAGGAGAGAAAGAGTGAAGTGGTAGAGACTGGGGCTGTGTCTCTGTTGAGAGAGCCAAGCTCTGAAACAGCTGACTTGTGACTTGAAGAAAGCAAATGGAGTCATCCATCCATCTATTTTTTCCAGCAATGGGCTCCACTGCAAAACCTCACAGACCTTAACATTAAAAATAGCTGCTATTTCACATCTTCTTATGTGAGGACAAAAATATCGTGTTGTATTAACTGTCTCGCAAGAATGAGACCATTTAAAAATATTATTTGGGTTTCATTGTTCATTTTTGCATTTTGGAAGATTTAGCAACGTTCTAGATATTGTGGCACTTCTGATGCCATAATGGGAGGATATGAGAAAGGTGACCTGTGGAGATCTTAGGACAGTTTTCTTCCTGTGAAGAATCAAGGTCTAAAAGTCTGATTCTCTAATCCCCATCCTTTTAGCAAACTTTAAGTTGGGAGCCTCCAATGAGGATCTATCCACCCCCCCCCCCAAAGTCTTTCCTTTTTACTTCTAAAAAGGGCAAACATGGTTATGCTTTGTTGACAAGCATAGTAGAGCCTGCTCAAAAACAAAACTAATCTAGACTCTGTGTCTTATTTCCTTTTTCTGCTGACCCGGTCTTATTTCTTAGGACCACAAAAGACAGTTTATTGTTTCATTACCACCAACTTTGTTCTAGTTGTTTCTCGTGATCATATAGGATCAGTTTGAGACTTCTACTTGTCCAAGCCTGGGAAAAGACTTCTTATCACATCACTCATGACAGCAAATAGGCCCCAAACCTTACACTAGAGCAAGGAAACTACAGCCTCATATGGCCTGCCAAAGCCATTAATCTAGCCCACGCAGGAGGCTGCCCTGCCTACTCGCCGGCCTCCATCCTTCGGTCAAGCACAGGACTTACCTTCCCAAGCCCTGCAGGCTTGAACTGGAAGGTAAGGCCAACATTGGTGGCCTACAGTGACATTCTGGAGGCAGGGGAGGTGAAAAACAGGCCATTGTAGCCCACTTTTGGCCTCCAGAACTTTTGGTTCTCAAGGTGGGGGAGGTGAAAAACGGGGTGTGCAGATGCCCCAGGAGGCTAAAAACAGGCCCGTTTTTCACCTTCCCTGCCTCCAGGAGAGAAAGAGATTTTTCACTACCAGTTTGGTGGGCATGGCTTGGTGGGTGTGGCAGGAGAAGGATACTGTAAAATCTCCCATTTCCTCCCCACTCCAGGAGACGATTACTGCAAAATCCCCATTCCCTCCCAATCAGCTGGGACTTGGGAGACAGAGAGTACCGGTAGATGAGGGCAGAGCCAGTCACAGATGGTATTTAGTTCTCCGAACTACTCAAAATTTTGGCTACCATTTTTCCAGAATTGGTCCCAACCTGCTGAATACCACCTCTGGTCCTAATTCTTAATTGCAGTGCCTCTCTTGCCCTACCTTTGACTGCTAATGTCCCAAAATGAATCTTTTTCAGAAACAAAGCATTTTTGGGGGGGGGGGCGGTCTGGGATCACAGGGCTGTTGGACTTTGCCTCATGTGAATTATGGGTCCTTACCTCTTTACAGAGAGAGACTTCCGGAGGCTGACTTTAGCTTCATGAATGTACCTCGGCACTGTGGAGGCAGCCATACCCTCACCCATCCATTCAGACGCTATGTGAAACTACAACAGTTCAGCCAGAGTATTCCCCCTGTCCAACCAGATGAAAGCCCCATGCTGGCAGTGATGAAGGTAATGAGGAGCCAGGTGGAGAGAGACAGCAGGAGAGAGTGGATAGACATTAGCATGGACCTACAGCTGGACAATCACAGTTGAAGCTTAAAATGTCGGCACTGCCTTTAACTGCTTTGCATGATTTGCCCTCCAAAGGGGCATGGAACTCTTACTTAAAGAGGAGGTGTATGACCCAAAACTGAACCCAAAATTTCTGTTGTTAAGTGAGACATTTGTTAAGTGAATTTTGCCCCATTTTATGGCTTTTCTTCCCGCATTTGTTACGTGAATCATTGAAACTCTCAAGTTAGTAACCTGGTGGTTAAGTGAATCTGGTTTCCCCATTGAGTTTGCTTGTCAGAAAGTCACAAAAGGGGCTTACATGAATGTTGATCATGTGACTATAGTTATGCAGCAACAGTTGTAAGTGTGAAAAATGGTCCTAAGTTGCTTTTTTCGGCCCGTTCTGTTGTAACTTTGAGTGGTCGCTAAATGAACTGTTGTAAGTCGAGGACTACCTGTAATACAGGTTTGACATTTTGTCATTTAGTGCCTGACAGGTTCCCTTCCTGAGGTGCTCATTCCACGAGCAGGATGCAACTTGTTTGAGGTTATTTGTTACCCATTAAGTTTTGATACACCTGAGGAAGAGTCTGGTATTGATCTAGGGAACTGGTGGCCTTTCAGATGTTGCTAGAATACAATTCCTAGAAACTTTAGACTGACTGGACAAGGAAGGCAGATGTTGATGGTTGTAATTAAGCAATACAGAGACCATAGTAGCCTACCCAGCCCTTGCCTAATGTAAGAAAAAGCTCAGCAGGGTTAAACCACAGGTGTTCTTTGTCCATTGTTTATGTTCTTACAGTGCCTCAGGGTTGGAGCCCTATAAATCTTATCTGTATTAAGCATGGAATTTGCCTCTTTTGTAGCCATTGAGGCGTGGTTCCACCAGCACCTCCCTCAAGACATTCTATTTAGATACAGTCTACATCGACTACAGTAGAGTATATGGGATATTATGAACTGCGCTGAATTACGTCTAGGCTACTTGGTCATTTTCATGCCCACAGTTACCCTTTCTGTTTTAACCAATGGTTGAATGGAGACCTAGTCATACTTACGCTAAGCCCATTAAAAGCAATATCATTTAGCTAATGGATATTAATGCTTCTGATTTAAAAACGACAGAATTTGCGTCTTCCTAAAGGCACCTAAATTGGCAGTTTTATAGTGTAATGGAAGAAGATACTGCAGGATGAAGGAATACGAAGTCTGCTGCAGATAATCTGAACAGAAATCTCTTGTTCAGTCCTTCCTTGTGATTGGAGACATTTTCTTTTCCTTGAGAATTGGGCCCCCACTAACAGATGCTTTGCTAAAACGTTTTGCTAGCTTCTTTTGGAGAAAGTCAGAACAGGTCTATTTCAGGAACTTATTTCAAGATTCGTCAGCTTTTCTTTTGTGTCTCTGTTGGAGGGAGAATAGGAAGGGGCAGAACAGGGTGTAGGATTCTTTTTAGAAAAACCATACGTGAACAACCCTAGCCAACAATACTGAAAGCAGAAGAGCACATGAAGAGGAACCTATTTGGGTAGCAAGGGAGAAATGCAATCCAGTGCCAGCCAACTGTTTGGTCAGACAAGCTTGTCAGTCTTTCACAACAATTTCTCGCCTTATTTAAGCACTTGGAGAAGAAAGAATATAATGCCTTTCTGAATAGTAGTGACAACAACATCACTGGGTTTTTCAGAGTCTCCCCTTTCAGGCTCTTAACTTCAAGGTTGGTGGTTTGGTATTTTCTTTGAGATAATGGATATACTTTGCTACCTGTCTCTGAGATTTCTAGAATACAAAAGCAACTGAAGAACAAAAGTCTTTTTAGCCACATGTTCCTCTGTAATTCCTTTTTATTCCCCTCCATTAGCAGAGATGCGATAACACAACTTGGCCATCTTTGCTAGAGTCATCCATGCTAATACAAGTCGATTGTTCTGACTTCAATAATGCTAGCTACAGCTGAAAACCTTCCCATCTGGTATAACACAGACATGTATACACACACACACACACACACACACACACACACGGTATGACTACAAATCCATGATTGTTTCAGCTAGAGATGGAGGGAAATGTAATTTAAGAATTCTGAGGGAGGTTGCAGATTGGAAAAAGTGAAACTGAACCTACTGGATGCTTTCTTGATTACGGTACAGCCTCTCACTGTGTTTTTGTGACCTCGTTCAGCACATACTACTTATCCCACTTACCTTACATGCCAGGGAGCATTCCACTGTGAGGTATTAGCTTTTTACTCCCAAGTGAAGGTGGGGAAAGTTAAGTTGGCGGTTGTCAGAGGAGGATTTTGGGTGGGAAAGGTTGGAAAGAAAGGAAACAAGGCAATTTAGGATTGTGAAGATGGAAATCTCCACATCAACATTTGGGGCAAAGTGATTGTTCCTACAATTGGAATTGCAGTACCTTCTTTGGAGAAAGTTTTGAAGTTGAACCATTTGGCTGAAACCCCCAGTGTTGTCAGGGACATTCCAAAATTGTGACTGGCATATCCTTTGTGTAGAAGGAGCTGATCACTCAATAGGACCCTCAGGTTAACAAGAGAACAGGGGATCAGCTTGCTTAATTATGCTCAGAAACAAAATTGGACCACAATGAATTGAAATATTCAATAAGTTTAATCAATTTCTTTGATTTCCATGTTTGCTCCTGCCCTGCCACCTCACAAGTAGGCTCCCCAATAGTAGCATGTATCTTTTTACTTCAAGGGGCACAAATCCCCACTTGTTTTGCTCTGCATAGTTTAATAGAAGTGGCTTTCTGAATGGCAATTGAGAGACCTGACATGCCTCTTCCAATTTTCCAGAACTGGAAATGAGGCAGCAGATGGGAGGCGGCAATGATTAGGGACAAGACATGTGTAGCTGCTTGTGAATTTTTTTAAAGGAAAAAAATCCAATTTGTAAGTTCCAAGGGTCTATCCAGTCACCAGAGTGTGGTTTTCAAGGCCTTTCTTCAGATTTACAAGTAAAAGCCCTTGTAAAAAGTGGTTAACCTTGAGCAAGGTTCAGCTGAAATTTATTCTGTGTTTGCATTTACTTCCAGCACGAAGAAGTAGATATACTGGGTCTTGATGGTCATATTTACAAAGGACGTATGGATACACATCTTCCATCAATAACCGGAAAAGAATGTGAGTTTTGTGTTCTGTTTGCAGATGCTCTGAGTAGACTTGTCAATTATTTCTCTTTATCCCGGGCACTTTGAAGTATTTTGGCACTGTACCTTCCTGTCAAATAATCATGTATGTAGCAGTATCCCTCAACTTGGAGCCTTTTGATTTCCAAATGTTGTAGACATCATGATCTTAAGTGAGAAATTACAGAAGTTGTAGTTAAACTAGGAGGAATTCAGGTGGAAAAAGGCCAACTTATAGAACGAGCAGATCTCTGTGTTTGTTCTGGTGGGGAATTGATCCTGAGACGCATACAGCAATTTCACAGTGGGCATGTTTGATTTCTTAGAGTTGCTATGGGATATAACTTCATCTGTGTCCAAAACATTGATGCCTCCCCTCACACTTCTCTTATCAGATGTCCCAAGAACAAGAAGCAAGCTCCTTCGGTCTTCCTCACAAAGGCAGCAGCATCCCATGCTCAGTGACCTGGCCAACCTCCCTGCTCGCCCCCAAACTGCAAAAGTGTCTATGGGCAGCATGTCAGGTATGTTACAATCCTGAATCAAGCTTGATTAGAAATGGAAATGGTGCCTGAAGCCCACCCAGAAATGCTTAGAGAGTATTTCCTTGAACTGTTTATGAAATAATTGCTGAGGAAAGCAGAGCAGTGATGATGATCAAAGGAAGTTCCTGAGAGATGGTCTGTATTCAATTTTATCACGGTAGGACGGGCATTATGCAGGTAACACTTGCTGAAGACTCCAAACAACCTTTTCTTTCTTGACAGAATAACACTTCACAAGATCTCCTTGAGAAAAGCAAAGAGCTACTGAATTAGTGATCTTTCATAAAATTAAAAGTTTTGAACAATGAGGCAGTGGTAATAGTCAGGCGAAAGTGGACATTTGTGAAATCTCCAAATTTGGGGTGAACCAAACCCCAAAATTTAATACAGTCCTCACTAAAAAAAAAAAAAAGTAAATTGTTATGCTTGAAGTACTGAAATCTGGGACTATTTCTTTGTTAGAACCTCACTTAGGCCAGCAATATATTCTGAGTATAAGACGCACCTTTTTCCCTCAAAAAAGAGGCTGAAAATCTGGGTACGTCTTATACACTAAATACAGCATTTTTTGCCTCCCGAAGCCCCGCCCCTTCACCAAAATGGCCATTCATACCCTTATGGAAGCTTTCAGAGAGCTCCTGGGGGCTGGGGAGGGCAGAAATGAGCAAAAAATTAGCTGGTTTTTGCTCAATTTTGCCCCCCCTCCCCCCCAAGCCTCCAGTAGCCTCTATAAGCCTCCATAAGGCTTTCCATGCAATTTTTTTGACAAAAAAGGGCTTGTTTTGAAAAACGGACCATTTTTTGCTTGTTTTGGGGGGTAACCCCAGGAGCACTTTGCAAGCCCCCCCCCAAGACTATTTATACCTTTTTTTAAAAACAGGCCCATTTTTGCGAAAAACGGGCCATTTTTGGGAGGTTTGTAGAGTGCAAAAAAACTTTTTTTTCCCGTTTTGGAAATCTCTTTAACTGATTAATGAGAATTACATTGATCAAGTGCTTTGCCAGCAGAAGTAAAGTCTTAGGTGCTGCAGATTGTCTGTCTGTCTGTCTCTCTCTCTCTCTCTCCCTTTCCCTCTCTCCCTACCTATCTACTGTATTTCTCTCTATCTCCCCCTCTATCTATCTACGTACCTACCTATCTACTCTCTCTCCCTACCTATTGTATTTCTCTCTATTTCTCTCTCTCTCTATCCCTCTACCTACCAATCTACCTACTCTCTCTCTATCCCTACCTATCTACTGTATTTCTCTCTCTATATTTCTATTTCTCTCTTTCTATCCCTCTACCTACCAATCTACCTACTCTCTCTCTATCCCTACCTATCTACTGTATTTCTCTCTCTATATTTCTATTTCTCTCTTTCTATCCCTCTACCTACCTACCTACACACACACTCTCTCTCCCTACCTATTGTATTTCTCTCTATTTCTCTCTCTCTCTATCCCTCTACCTACCAATCTACCTACTCTCTCTCTATCCCTACCTATCTACTGTATTTCTCTCTCTATATTTCTATTTCTCTCTTTCTATCCCTCTACCTACCAATCTACCTACTCTCTCTCTATCCCTACCTATCTACTGTATTTCTCTCTCTATATTTCTATTTCTCTCTTTCTATCCCTCTACCTACCAATCTACCTACTCTCTCTCTATCCCTACCTATC